TAGTTGGTTTGAATTTTGTTATGTGTTTTAAAAGGTAATGTACTACTAGGCATTGTTGAAAGAAATTAAGGAAGATCTAAGTAAATGAGAAGACATCTCATGTTCATGGATCAAGTTTAAGTTTTTAAGTTGTCAATTCTCCCCAAACTGATCTAAAAATTCCATGCAATCTCAATCAAAATCCCACCTTTCTTTATTGCAGAAATTAATAAACTGATCCTAAAATTCATATGGAAATGCAAGGGACCCAGAATAGCCAAAACAACTTTGAAAAAGAACAAAAATTAAGAACTCACTCTTCTTAATTCCAAACTTACTACAAAGCTGCAGAAATCAAGGCAATGTAGAATTAGCATTAGGATAGACATATAGATCAATGGAATAGAATGAGTCCAGACTTAGAACTGTCACATTGATGGTCAACTGATTTTCATCAAAGGTGCCAAGAAACGGTGCTGGGACAATTCAATATCCACATGCCAAAGAAAGAAGCTAGACTTCCACTTCACATGACACACAAAAATTAACACAAAGTGGATTATAGACCTAAATTTAAGAGCTAAAACTATAAATCTCTTAGAAGAAAACATAAGAGCAAATCTTCATGACTGCGGGTTAGGCGATGGTTTCCTAGACATGATACCAAAAGCACAAGCAAAAAAGAAAAATCAATAAATTGGACTGTGCAGAAATTTAAAATTTTATGCTACAAAAAATACTATCAAAAAAGTAAAAAGTCAACCCACAGAATAGGAGAATATATTACAAATTTTATATATATATATGTGGGGTGCCTGCATAATTCACATATCATAAAATTCAGCCATTTAAAGTATACAATTAGATGGTTTTGAGTATATTCACAGAATTGTGCAAATATCATCACAATCTAACTTCAGAAGATTTCATCACCCAAAAAAGAAAACTATACCCATAAGCAGGGGTGCCTGCCTGCATGGCTCAGTTGGTCAAGTGTCTGCCTTGGGCTCAGGTCATGATCCCAGGGTCCTCCGGCTCCCTGCTCAGCAGGGAGTCTGCTTCTCCCCTTCCCTTTGCCCCTCCCCCTACTCATGCTCTCTCTCTCTCTCTCAAATAAATAAATAAAATCTTTTAAAAATTTTTAAAAAATAAATAAAAATCATAAATCATATATCTGATAAGGGCTTGTATCCAGAATATATAAAGAACTCTTATAACTCAATAATAAAAAACCAACTCAATTTAAAAGTGGGTGAAGTGTTTTAATAGTCATTTCTCCAAAGAAGATATGCAAATGGACAATAAGCGCATGAAAAAATGCTCAACATCACAAGTCATTAGGGAAATACAAATCAAATCCACAATGAGATGCTACTCCAAACCCATTAGGATACCTATAATAAAACACAATGGGCGCCTGGGTGGCTCAGTTGGTTAAGCGACTGCCTTCGGCTCAGGTCATGATCCTGGAGTCCCGGGATCGAGTCCCACATCGGGCTCCCTGCTCAGCAGGGAGTCTGCTTCTCCCTCTGACCCTCTTCCCTCTCGTGCACTCTATCTCTCATTCTCTCTCAAATAAATAAATAAAATCTTAAAAAAAAAAAACACAACAACATTGGCTAAGAAACTCTCATACTAGTGGGAATGACAAATGGGGCAGACATTTTGGAAAACAATCTAGCCATCTTAAAATATTAAACATAGAATTACCATACGATCCAGCAATTCTATGGTTGGTATATATCCAGGAGGAGAACTATCTATCTATCTATCTATCTATTTAAAAAAATATATATGTGTGTCAAGCAAAAACTTGGACACAAATGTTCATAGCAGCATTATTCACAATAGCTAAAAAGTGGAAACTACCCAAATATTCATCCACATGTTTATTCATGAAATGGTAACTAAAATGTCATATATCCATATAGTGAAATATTATTTGGCAATAAAAAGGAAGGAAACACCAATACATGCCCTAATGTGGAAGAACCATAAAACATTATGGTAGTAAATGAAAGAAAGTTACAAAAGACCACATATAGGCAAATCTTTCTAGACAAATCCATAGAGACAGAAAGATTAGTAGTTACTGAGGGATGAGGGAAAGAGAGACTGAGGAGGACTGCTTATGGGTATAGTTTTCTTTTTGTGTGATGAAATGTTCTAAAGTTAGATTGTGATGATATTTGCACAATTCTGTAAATATCCTCAAAAGCATCTAATTGTATACTTTAAATGGCTGAATTTTATGATATGTGAATTATATTGTAATAAAGTTGTTGTTGCTTTTTTTAAGGCATTATAACTAGTCAACAGGCCCTTACAACTTGGGGAGTTGGAGACTCCAGCTTTCAAGTGAAGTATGAACAACTTTGGGCCTCCAAGGATAATATTTCTTGAATAAGCTTTCACTTGGAATTAGGGCTGTGGTCGCTGGCAACAATTCCAGGTACAGATTCTGTGTGTTACCAATTAAGGGCAAAATTTTATGTAGTTAGTTAACAAGTTAGTTACTGTGTCTGGGCAGATGTGGTATATCTATTTCATGGACTGTCTGTGGGAACTGTTTGTCTTAGGCCAGCAGGTTGCCCTCTGCTCTGGAATATATTTCTAGGTCAGTGGCTCCCACCATCAATTAGTGTGTGTGCTCAAGGGAATGCAAACTGATTTCAGCATTATCTTAAACAAAACATAATTGGGAAGGTAAGGATCCTGCCAAAAAATTACATCATGCATTCCAAAGCCAACTAAAAATGAATTTTGGACCAACCATGCTAAATATACACATTTAGCATAGGTTTAAATGGTTAATAGTTATGATAATACTAAGTTGGTAGTACCCATGTAGCTTCTCTTTTTGAACTTATTTAAATCTTTCTTTTAGGATTTAGAAATTCTGCTACACAAATTTCACAGGAAAAAAGTTAATAAATTAAATTCTCAAACATTTGTCCTATTACAACATTGTATGTCTTTCCACTATGTCTAAATCCTTTCAATCCAGAATATTCAATCACCTTGCTATGCAAAATTGGTCCACCACCTGGACATTGCCAGGGAGATCCATTCCAAACTACTGAGTCAGAATCTGCATTTTAACAAGATCCCCAGACAATCTGTGTGCACATTAAAGTTTGAGAGGCCTTGCTCTCATACCTAACCAAAACTCAGTGTAAAACAGCCTCAGGAAAACTGGGCAGTGCGTCACTATTAGTAATCTCAATTGAGACAACATTGTAGCAACCTCAAAATGTCCCTTTTTGATTAAGGTGGTAAAAGCTATCAATGTTCTCTTATTGTAAATGTGCACGAAACACAGGGCAGAAGGCTGTGGTGACCACTCCTACTTAAACATCCTGGAGGATGGAGCAGAGAGGAGCTTTTTCCTAAGGAAATTTTCCCTACTGTTCTAGTTGTCCCCAGATCTTCCTCCTGGCTTTGACCTTTTGAGTACAGCATCACCCTTTGTGAAAACCCAGCCTGGACAGTTTGCTCTGAAGCAACAGGTGGTAATAGAACCATCAAGGGCAGGAGGGTTCCTGAGTGAAAGAAACTTTACTCTTTCAGGCCCACTTATCAGTATGGAAAGAAGCAATTGAGACCTGGAGCACCACTGTTTTCCCTCTCCCAGGGAGGTACAATTCAACCACAGTCTTCATTTTCCTTAAAGAGTGTCAACTCTTCTAACCCCACAGGGTTTGAATACATGAAAACCCCTCCATTATACCTTTGCTCCGATATTTCCACTTCCTACAAAGGAAGTTTATAAAGCCAAGTAACCAGGAGGTCTTCCCAAGTGAATTGGTCTCCATGCCAAGATGGGGTTGGGGGGAAGGGGAAGGGATCAAGAGAGTTTCCTGGAGAATGATAAATAAGATGCTGATTCTTGGGTTCCACCCTTAAGATTCTGATTCAGGAGGTCCGGACTTAGGACCAAAAATTAACATTTTAACAAGTGCCTTAAGCAATTCTAAAGTAGGCAGTCCAGGCCTACACTTGAGGAAACTGAGATAATGGGTTTAAGAATAGCAATAGCACCTTTGCAATAAAACACTTATTCTTACGCATCTATTTCATCTTTTGAACTGAAGTTGTCAATTTCCTACTGGCTTCCATTCAGCATTTACCGAACAACCGTTGTTCGCAGAGGACTGTGCCACCTGTGCCTCTCCTGGTATGTCTGGGCTGGGTGGAGCGGACGGGGAGAGAAGGGTGTGATCACAAGAGAGCTATTTCTCCACTTCCTAGCAAAATGACAAAGTCACCTTTTCATGACTTGTGAAACAGAGTAACCTAAACAACCATATTACCCAACCACAGTTACCATAATTTGCTAACCTTTTTAGGGCACCAACGTACCAGGGATGCCATGGCCTTACTTGTAGGAAGGTCAGTTCTGCAAACCAAACTGCCTACCTTCTCCACTTGATGATAGGACCACAGGCAAGTGATTTAACCTTTCTGTAACTCAGTTTCTTCATCTGTAAAACGAGGCTATAACACCTACTTCATGGAGTCGGTGTAAGGAGTAAATGAAACCCTATCTAATGGATGCAGAGGGCTCCAAGAATCTAAATAATATAGCGAAGATTCATTTCGTTTCTCAGTCAAAGCCACAAGACCATTATGAGAATACTAAAAACTGTTTCCAGAGGCTGATTTGTAATTCTAGGTGCAAAGAGTGAAATTTAAACTTTGTTTATTTCAAACAGTTCGAGTGAATTATTGTCACTAAAATGATCTGGGGTTTTGGTTTTTAGGGTTCTCTAACTCTTCTTCAGGAGTTTGTCCTGCTTATGCCACGCTCTGCCCCCAAAGTTCTGTTCCAAATCCCCGGTTTGGGGGGGGGATGCGGAGGCGCGACGTCCCGGGCAGGTGCCCCTCGGGAGCTGGACCCGAGCCCAGCCCCGAGGGTGGAGGGGCTGGGAGAGGACCCGGGTCGGCCGCCCCCGCCGGCCGCTCAGCGGGGAGGTTGCCTGCGGGCGCCAGGAGCGTGCGCGGCCACGTGACGGCCGCTATAAGAGCGCTCGCGGCCCACGCTCCGCTCCCGCCGCGCCTCCTCCCTGGCCGCGCTCCCTCCCGACACCCGGCTTCTCCCAGCCAGCAACCTGCGGCAGCGACGGCCGCCCGGCCCCTCCCGGCAGCACCATGACAGGTACGCGCCGCGCCGCCCCCCGCCCCCCGGACCTCCGACTCCGCGTCCTGCGCTGCCTCCCCGCGCCTCCTTCCCGCCCCGCAGCCCCGGGGGAGTTCCTGGCAGGACGAAGACTGCCGCAAAGTTACAGGCTGGCTGCAGTCGGGCGTGCCGCTTCCTGCGTCAGCCGCTGCCCCGCCGTCCCCGAGGCCGGAGCTGCGGCCGGGAACCCGGGACGCTGTCGTGGGGGGCAGCCTGGCGGCGCCTGGGCCCTCTGCCCAAGCCCCCGTTCCTGCTTCCGTCTCCGTGCCCTTCCTTCTGCTCTCACCGTGAAGGGCGGGCGGAGCAGCTGCGGCGGGGCCGGGTGGGGGGTGGGGAGCCGGTTCCCTGGGGCGCCTGTCCCGAGCCCCGGAGCGCGGCGGGATCGCTCGGCGGCCGCCCCCGCCTCCCGCAAGCAGGATCACCTGGAAGGGCCGGCCTCGAGGTGGGGACGCCGGCGGCCCCGGCCTGGCCCTTCTACCGGCCGCCGGGGCGCTGGCCGCCACGCCGAGCCTATTTTTAGGCCTTTGGGGCCGGGTTGCTGAAAGCTAGAGCCGGGCGAGCGCCCCAGGGGAGCGGGCCGCATGCGGTGGGCGTGCGCCGGCCCACTTGTTGCAGGGGTCGAATCTGCCTCGAGAAGGGGAAGCTCGGAGATACCGGGTCCTTCCGAGGTTGTTGAGGCTAATAGCGCGGTTATGAGAGCAACTGAACTGCCGAAAGATTGCAGATGTACCCGGAGTTGCTGTATTTTACCCAGCTGTCATTGGTCTTTCCCGTTCGTTTGTAATGTTTGCTAGGTGTTCCAGCTTATGTTCCTAAGCATCTGTCCTGTCCCCTACTTCATCTCGGATAGCATCCGTAACCTTGCTTCCTGAAATCCTTGAGTCCTATTTACCTTATTAAACTTTTATCCAGGTTCCCCTGGAATCTGGACCGCTTTTGAGTTAAAACATTAGTCCTTATCCCCCAGATGAAATACTCTTGGGGTAGACTGTCTGAAGTGTTGCCATCTTGTGATGGGTTGAAGGAACAAGTAAAGGCAGAGATTGATGGGCATGTCAAATGACAGGTGTCACTGTTCTGAGCTTTCCTAGAATGTGACTAGCTGGGAAGCCGGTGGCCCTTGAAGGGTGGGGAACACCAGTCTTTCTACAGCTTAATAGCGATCCTGTTCAGGAAGAGAGTCCAGCACATGCAGTAGCCTCCTTGACAGCCTACAACTTTCTCTGGCTTCTCAATGGAATTCAGTCTGCCTCCAGCCTCCACAATGGAAAACAGGCAAAGGGAAAATGAGAAAGAGCGTGACTTCATGACCAAATGTCCCAACTCCTTGGTTGGGCAACAGTGCCCCCAAGTGACCCCTGCCAGTGTTTGATCCGAAGTATCTTGTACATTTGGATGCCCACTGCCTTGCTAAAATCCCCTCAGAGATAGAGTGGACCTCAGACTCATTCCAGGGAAGAACTGGAGAAATCCTAAAGGCAGGGCTGGTGGTCTTGGGAGGGTGGGGCTTGTTCAGTAGGAAGAATAATCCATGTGTTTGCCTTCCCTTCTGGCAACGGAGGGATTATTGAGTGTGTGTATGTGTGTGTGTGTTGGGGGACCCAGGGTACAGGGTAGGTGATGCTGATTGCTTCTCCAAGAAAAAGGAGGCAGGTTTGTTAGCACTTTTGAGGTGGTCCCTAAAATCTGATTAACACTGATTGGCTGCTGTTTAGATAGAAACTCTAAGGAGGGAAGGCCTGTCCATGGAGGTGATATTTGAGCAGACACTCCAAGTGACTGTGAGATGTGGTGGGTGGTGTGGGTGCCTTTGCTGCAGGTTGAGGAAACAATATAGAAAGCCTGAGGCTTGGCAGAAGCCTAAGCATCAGAATGAAGAATATGGCTTCTGCTTTCAGATGCTCTCCGTTGAGGTCATTAGTTGGATTTGTGCTTGGCTGAAAATACTTGTAGGAAACAGAAAATGTACTTCTTGAGTTCATTACCAACTGTTATTTACCTGAGGTTCACCTTCTGGTGTTAAGCTGCTATTTCGTCTGAGAATTTTGTGTGTTCAGACTCTAAATTGGATTTAATTTTTAAAGCTTAATCAGCCTGTTGGAGATTGCCAGAGATGTTTCTGCTAAAGAATGGTCTTGAATCATTCTTAAAGTGGGTACTTGGGTTCTTCCCCCACTCCCAAAGAGGCTGCTTCTTTATTAATAGAGCAAGTTGATCTCAGAGGAGCTGATTGCCAAATTAGTGGTTGAAAAGGGTCCTGTGGTAGCTTTTTCCAGGTAGGATATTGTAATGAGTGTGTTTTTTTTTCTTTCTCTTTGTATTAAGATCAGGCCTTTGTGACACTGACCACAAACGATGCCTACGCCAAAGGAGCTCTGGTCCTGGGCTCATCTCTGAAACAGCACAGGACCACCAGGAAGCTGGCTGTGCTCACCACTCCACAGGTCTCAGACTCCATGAGGTGAGGACCTCTTGCCTGTCGGTGGGGCTCTGACATCTTTATCCCATTTCTGGCATCACTGGGCGTTGAGGCCATCCCCTTTCCAGGAGTTGAGCACTAGGTGGAGAAAGATCAGAATTGCTGGGTGAAGGATTTCTGGATCAACCTCTTCTAGCTCTTAGGAGCTGTTCCCGCTGAGCTCCCTTCTGGAAGGTGCTGTTGTGACCCATGTTCTTGTTGGTTCCAGCTGTGAGGAGGACTCTCCTGTAAGCAGGTCCTCTAGGATGACCTGAGTGAATGTTTTAGTCCAGGCATTCCTTTTATGTGGTCACACTTCACTTGTATTCCTTTCCCAAAATGCAGCAGGGGCTACTTTGTTTTCTGTTTCCAACCAGGGAAACCTCAGGTGACTGAAAGTAAGTAGCAGTTTTCTCCACTGTCAGTTGGCATTTGTAACCTAAAGATTTTTATTTATCATTTAATAGACTAGAATATTTGCCAGGGCTTTCTGAACTAGGGATTGTGTAAGAGAGCACCCTGGGGTAGAGATGGGGCCCGGGGGGGGGGGGACACAAACTGCTTGTTGATTGTGTTCATTTTGATTGTTGGTATTAAACTTTGAAGTATTTGATTGAACTACCTAGATCCTAACACTACAAAAATATCTGGGCACACTAGCAGCTCTGTATGGTGTTTATTTTTGTTTTCCTATCCGTCTTAGAAATTGAAAATGCCCTTTTTTGTGACTTTTTATAAGAAATATAAGCACATGCCAAGAACCTCTATATATAGCTAGATATTTCTCACACACTAATAACCTTATTTATAAAGGGTAATTTAGGAAAATGCTGAAAGATTTTCCTAATGTGTACATTCTAATTCGTAGTCTGTTTAGTGAGGGTGTGTGCAAGAAAACAGATATAGTCTTAGATCCCCTTTTACTGTGCTAAATGGCTCCAGTGACCATTTATTTTCAAAAAGATGTTTACTGTGTGAATTGGAACATCTTTTTCTACAGCTTGGGGACAGATAATACAATGCCAGTTTTGTTCTGCATGTTTCATTTTATTATAAACTTTCAATGATGATGTCTTTATCATATGCTGTGCTGAGCTTAGTGTTTTACCTAAGTATACCCCCGCTTAACCCACTTCAAGATTGCTTTCTAAAATAAATCTTGAGTTAATTTTGGGCCTGGAGAAGTGTTTCACCTCACAAACCAAAGTGAATCATTATGTCAAAAGTGCTAAGCATACTTTAAGTGTTGGTTATATTCGATTCTAAAAATTGGCAACCAAATAGCTTAGCTGAGTCCTTGAACATCCTTTGGGATGCATAGCTCTATGTAAACTGCTTTATCAAAAGTGATTAGTTATAGGCTTCATTGCAGGTATTATATGCACTTAGCATCATTTGTAGAAACATGCAGTAATCAGCAAGAATCAATTCTAATGAAATATCATTGTTAAATACATAGGTTTTTGTAAAGATGTGCTCTTTCAAAATGGGAGTCACGTTTTGACAGGTGGTTTCTATAATTTGCCTGGTATCCAGTGATAACATAAAATAAATAAAAATAGAAAAGTTCTGCTGTAATGATGTTTAGTACTTCATCCTCACCAAAGCAATTTTTATTAGTGAAGTTAGTTAGCTACACATATAAATTGATACAGTTTGGCCTGAAGTAAATTAAGACCACCTATTTAAGAGATTGTACTACATCAAAGTAACAGATTGCTCTGGTAATTTATGGGTAAACTTAATAAGAATACAATTTTACATTAGATGGGTTACTTGTTACTTATCTGAAAAGACACTAAATGCTGTTTTCTGGATTTTATTTTGGCAGAAAAGTTTTAGAGACAATCTTTGATGAAGTCATCACAGTAGACGTCTTGGACAGTGGTGATTCTGCGCATCTAACCTTAATGAAAAGGCCTGAGTTGGGTGTCACGTTAACTAAACTCCATTGCTGGTCACTTACACAGTATTCAAAATGTGTGTTCATGGATGCAGATACTCTGGTGAGTGTGGCTTTGATGACTGGAAAGATGTAGATAGTAACTGAGACCAGTTAGGCATTTGAGGAATGCTCTCAAGACTTGACAGTACAGTTCAGATAAAACCACTTATTGAAAGCATCAGGTGATGAAGGAGAGTAAGCCCAGGCTGTTTTACAGCTGTCATCTGAATGGTTAAGATCAGCAGCAGACTGCATCGTTTGTGTTGGATAACTTAGAACTTAGGAAGAGTATGCTGGGGCAGAACATTTTTGTAATGCTTTCCCTCCCACCCACCTCCCCCCCTTTAAATTAGGTCCTAGCAAATATTGATGATCTTTTTGAGAGAGAAGAATTGTCGGCGGCACCAGACCCAGGGTGGCCTGACTGCTTCAATTCTGGAGTCTTTGTTTATCAGCCTTCAGTTGAAACATACAATCAGCTGTTGCACCTTGCTTCTGAGCAAGGCAGTTTTGATGGTAGGTATCTGTTATCTTTATATTTGATAAGCTGTTAGTAACTTCCAGGGGCGGCTGTTCTCAGGGATCTAGTTGCTTTCATTCCTTGTGCCTGGAGGACAGCAGTGCATGAGACGTGGCAAACATTTTCATTTGTACTCTTGTTGGAAAGACTGTTGTGTGTCTGTGTGTGCATATGCATTTTTCTTTTGTAAGTGCATAAGACTGAGCTAGGAGGCATTTTTATACACCTGCCTTTAACTGGCTTTCTTGTTTCTAAATTAGAGTATGATAAATGAACCATGATTATTCAAGAATTCAAAAGACTCTTATTAAACAAATTAAAAACTTTAACAACTATCTTTAAATCTAAGTAAACTTAACTGCAAGAGCTAACAGGAGGACCAAGCATTGTTTCCATAGAAATTGGAGGAATAAACCTGATAATTTGGCTCTCATTCTCTTGGGAAACATTTTTAAAAAAAGATAGAAAATTAAATGATCACTCTTTGTCTCCAGATTCTCATTCCGTATAAGGCTGCACATCAGAGTGGCATTTGCAAGGCCAAAGAACAGAACATTGGCAAAGTCAGCATCCATTTTCCATAACGTAGAAGCATATCTGTAGCTACATGTATATATAGAAAGGTTCTGACTATTCGTGGATTTTGGGCCCCACATCCTTTGGAGAAATTTGATCAAATGAATTAGAGGTATGTTTCCATTTCAGGCCAGTCTCTGAAATAATAAAGAATCCATTTTTTTTTAACAACAAACTATCCCAAGACAGAACTAGTAGTTAATGTGCAAAAGCAGCTTTTTCTAAAATTAATGTTAATGGGTCTTTGGAATAAAGAAGAAAGCCAGTTATATCAGAGAAGAAGGATCGGTTCTAAGAAGTGGCACTCTCAGCAGGGACTTACTATCAGATACTTGACATTGTGGCAAAGAGCCCTGAGCTCTGAAGTAGATCCTCGGCACCAGGGGCTTCTTTCTTCCTCCTCTCCTCTCCAAGAGCATATCTGAGATTGCAGGGAGTAGATCTTTTGAAACTAGCAGAAACGGCTTTCCTCAGTTGACATAGGTTTGGCCCTCGGTAAAGATATGAAGATTCATTTCCATTAACTAGTTATAAAGTTAAAAGTCATAACTTCAAATTTAAACGTTTTAAACAAAAAGATTAAAAGTTTGTCAGATTGCTGAAGTTAAAACATTTTCAGTTATACATAAAACTGAAATTGGATTTTTGTTGTTGCTCTCACAGAAAATAAACTCTGGTCACTTGACAAAGGATTTGGGATCTGCAACTATTGAAGTGTCATTGAAAAGAATAAGAAAGGTTAAGTGTCCTTCTTGTGTCACCATTTGGCTAGTTTAAACTCTATGCCAGGAGCTCTCAACATGAGGTTGATTTGGCTTCCTGGGGGACATTTGGAAACATCTGGAGACCCATTGGGTTGTCACAATTGACAAGGGTGCTACTGGCATCTAGAGGCTTGGGTTGCTGCTGAAAACATCCTACAGTGCACGGGGACAGCCCCCACAGCAAAGGATTACCAGGCCCCAGTTGTCAGTAGTGCCAAGGTTGAGACACTTTGCTCTATGCCATGACATTATATGCTCTAAAACAGCAGGAATATCTGCACCATAATGAATGACGACATCTGATAAGAAGTACAGTCTTATTTTAAGCACCCTTAAGTAGGAAATAATGTATTGAGTGTTCACTGTGGTCAGGACCAAATGCAACTTCTTCACTTCACTTCTATGCCTTTGCATAAAAGGAAGATGAGAGTATTTTTAGCAGAAGTCCACTGTTTGTCTTAACCTTCCCGTCAAAATATAGCTTTCTTCACCTCCTCCGATCAAATTTGAAGGAAGTAGTTGTAATTTGCCAGAAACTCAGTGTAAATTGTCAACTCCAGTAAACAATTCACATCCTGAAATAGATCCAGCAACCTGAAATCCAAATTACTATAATAGCGTAAAGAGAATCAATCCAATTTCTAACGTGGAAGAGTACTAGATTTTGTTGTTGAGAGTTAAGAGTTGAGATATCAAATGGTAGTATGCCATGGCAAATTATCGAGGTTCCAATTTTAGAATATAAAACTAAATGATTAACTGGTAGAGACCCATCTGGATCATCTACCTTGTTTGAGAATTAAGAGGTACTAGAGAAGTTGATGAATTCATTGTTAAGAAGCGAGGATGTGTGAAAAGTGCCCAGCTAGAAAGCACTTTCTGCTTTTTCAGCCAGAATCTGAAACCACTGAGAGATTCTCTCTGTGCCTGGTAGCACATTTCATTATTCAGCAGCAGGGTTTCCAGGAGCTGGTCCTTCTGTAAGGTGTTCCATTTAACTGGCTTGTTGGTAGTGAAGGATTGAATTTTCTGTTAATAGAAATGCTTAATTGAAGGAGTTGAAAATTCAATTATGCAGATTGGACCTTATAGTCATTCTCAATATGTTGTTTAAATTCAACAGAAGAATAGATTAGCAGCTCTTAAATGAAAGGTAGTTTTCCCTTTGTATTGATAAGCTTTACTTAGCAAAGAAAGCTCACAACATACCGGGAGAGCCTGTTCCACTCAGGAGTTTACTGTCCTATTGAATTAATACGTGTGTGACATAAAGACTTACTGGACTGACACAACATTTCATCGTGAGCTACATCTTTTTTTCTAATGGCAGTAGTAACCTTGCTTTACTTGAAGTTTTCAGTGCAGTGAGCAATTTTGTTTAGATGTCCTGGTCATAGGCACTGAAATGAACATTTTGATGTTTCACATTTTCTACTATCCACAGATATTAGCCATCCCCCTTCATCCCCCAGTTTTCCTGAACAGAGAGCTTAGGTCCCAGTATTTTTAGATCGGTATTAAAGGAAACCCATTTGTAGATGATTGTATCTCAGTCTGAATATCTCGCAAGTCCTGCTTAATCTCTTACATACGTTCAACAAACACTATGGGGCCGGGTGTCCACTGACAAGCCACGCAGGCTGCTGGTGGTTGAGTGTTTGCAGCTGCGTTTGCAGCCCTTCTGCTGCAGAGGAATGTGGCTGGCATGCCTCTAATCACCAGCCCTCTAATTACTACCCCTCCCCATGCCTCTGGCCAAGAGAATAACCGTACCATGGCCAGTCATGCTAGATACCTTGACTTCTCTCTTCCTTCCACATATGTCGAGTATTGGAATTTAGAGCTAGTGACTGTGCACCTCATTCATGGCTGAATTCTCATTTTCCATAGTGAAGTGTCTAAGTTCCTATACTGTTGTTTGTGTTTGCAAACTGTCTTGGCACTTACTTCATAACTGAAGTTACATGTTTCCTGAAAGTTGAACAATAGCTGTTGTGAAATATCTGCACACATTTTATAGGATGTGACAAGATCAGGTTAATTCGGGGTTTGTTAGCAGTGAGAGGAAGAAAGAGGTCATACTAGATACTAATCATCGGTTTTGTCTCCACATACTCATGTGCAACAAAGGTGATGCATTTGGCCCTTGAGGAAATCTATCTGAAAGCAAGTTGAGGTTTCTTTTCCCCCTGTTACCCTAAGTTTCCTAAATTCAGGGTAGAGTTGAGTTTAGTGCTTGGGAATTGCTGTATGTTAAATTTTATCTATATGTGTTAGTTTCAAAAACCCAAGTCAAAAAGAGGATTTCATATTTTCCAGTTTGGAGTGTTTTTTTCTTTTTAAGAATTTATTTATCAGAGAGAGAGCACAAGCAGGGGGAGTGGCAGGGAGAGGGAGAAGCAGGCTCCCCACAGAGCAGGGAGTCCTACATGGGGCTTGATCCCAGGACTCCAGGATCATGACCTGAGCTGAAGGCAGATGCTTAACCAACTCAGCCACCCAGGCGCCCCTGGAGTGTTGTTTTTGTTGTTGGGTTTTTTTTTTTGCTTGTTTTTTAATTGGGGATTTACTTTACTGTAACCAAAATACCCTAAGCTACTTATTGGAGTAATGAAATTTTGGTCTATAGTTGAATTTTCAGAAAAAAATAGGAGACAATAAATTGGTGATCGAATATTAGGTATGATTTTACCTTAGGCAGAATCCAAGACCTGCTATGAGATTCTTATACCTACACGTTCCATCTTCCAAGTGGTCACTGAGCCCCTTAAACTGTAAGATGTTTTTTCTGTGCTTGAAGATGTAGTAAACCAGGAGAGTATAAGTTTTTTAAATGATTTTTAACAGAAAAGATTTGGCTTTAAATTATTATAAAGTGTAAAATTGACCCCACGGCTACCTCCTTTAATCTTTGTAGTTAGTTAGGCTTCAAATTGGACCTGCCCAAAAAAGGGATGAAGGTGAGAGGTATTTCCAGATAACACTTGTCTTGTCCAACCCACATCAGTCAGAAATCCCAGCGCGCCTCACTGGGTTCGCTCTGACTTCGTGGCTTCTCCCTTGCCGGCTGCCTGTGGCGGGCTTGCCCCAGCTGCCCCAATAGGAGCTGCTTGCGGCCCGGAGAGTACTTCATCAATTGCTTTGAAAATTACTCCACTCTCTTGCATTTATATCATGTAACTGATAGTTCGAGTAATAAGTATCTTGAATAAGTAAAAATGAAAAGCAAAAGTCATAACATGTAACAGCAAGACAAATGAGTACCCAGGTTTTTTCTCAAGAGCTATTTTTACCTCCTTATACCCATGAGTATTTCTTTTAAGTTAGCCATCTGTTTGTCTCTAGCCTTGTAACCAGCAGAGATCATGAACCCCGTGAGAAATGGAGAAGGGGGAAAGGACCAACGTATTACCTGTCTGACTCCTTCACTTCTTTCCCAGCAGTCCTGTGAGGTCGTCATTCACTTGCTCGTTCACTCATTCATGTGTTCATGTAGCAAGTCGTTCTTGAGGGCCTGCTGTATAACTAGTCCTGGGAACCCCGTCGTCCCATTTGGGAGGGCAGCCTTTGCCAGTGGAGGAGCCAGGGCTGAACCAGACAGTGTTTCTTGACTTCTGTGGCTGGGTTGTGTGTGTGGTTTTTTCATTGCCTCCCAA